CCAATAAAGATTTTGTATACACATATTCAATAATTCATATTGAACTTATTACTCAAGTATATTTTAATAGAAGTCACATAATTTAATCTTACATTAGTCTTTAAATAATAATCATTGTTATACCTGTACTATATGTATACAAGTAGTATTTTGATAATATTCAAAATAATTACGACGGATGCGAAGAAAAAGCTCAAAATCTAGCTTCAGTTATACGAGAAGTAATTTAGAACTGTTTTTTGTGTTAACAAAATCATATATCTTCATGCAAAGTTCCTATATAATTATTATTAAACATAGAATGACACATTTAAAAGAAACTAATATTATTGGGATAACTACTGTTTCATTATTTTTAAAACACCTGTAGGTTCTATTCAAATTAGGTTAGGTAGAGAGAGCTTGTACGGTGGAGGTGATCGTTTAACATTAGATAGGAGTCCCTTAAACCTACACCTGGGTCACAAGTCACAGTCACTGCTGAAGCTTTCAGAGGGAGGAAACGCCCGGGTGTCGATATTGCTATGACCAACCAGAAGACGGTAGTGGACTGTCCAGCTTGGAAAAGCCGTCGGTAGCGGCGACCTCTCACGTCCGGCCTTAGTTCAGGCCATGGTGCGGTGCAAAAGAAACTGGGAAGATATGTCCTCCTTCTGCGAAGCACTCATGCTAGCTAAAGAGGATGCGTAGCGCGTGAGGGAACGATCCTCTCACGCGCCAGCCCCGCAAGGAACGCTCCAGGCGTTAGAGATACCGAGATGATCTCAAGCCACCGTAAATGTGGTTCTCCGGACGGCAAGCGAGGGTAGCTTGCCACCTAAGCAGAACCAAATCAGGCGCGTAGAGTACTGCGCACACCTCAAAGAGCCATCAGACCACCACAGATGGGGCTCTAGAGCCGATGACTGGCCAGGTCGCGGGTGTAAGCGAAATGATGTACCGCGGCCAGGCTCGGAGCAGAATTATGTACGGGGAGTTTTTAGTCGGTAAGAGTCTGACACTCCCTCTTGCTCCACCCAGAACAAGAAGGGTAAATTGATGATTTTCTCCTATGAAAAAAAGAAAAAAAAGTCACTGTTGAAGCTCCTCTCTACAACAATGGACTGGACACCCACACCGTGAATACATTGGATGCTAATAGGTTCCGTCTCTCTACATACTCCTGACGTTTTGGTTACTTTGCAGAAACCGTGATCACGGCATACATCTCGATTGTCCGTTAAAAAAATAAATTGCGCGTAATCCGAAAATACATATTATGTAGTTTCATTTAAATGAATACTCGCGAAAGTCTGAGATATCATTTCGCATTCAAAAATTTATTGAGATAAGAAAATTACTATGAAGTAGAATGAATGTTTATAATTATTTTTTATACCATCTTGTATTGTTTTGTCTAGAGTACCTGTTTTTAAAGATTGCTTAGGTTGGTGTTACAATGTGTAGACTGTAGATTAGGTCACATCTCGATGGGAAAGGAAGTCATTTAAATTCTTACGATTAGCTAATCTTTGACCCAGACGTATACAGATGCAACTTACTTATACATAAAAAATTAATTCTAAATAAAAGAAAATCACGTTAGTTACACTATTTATATCTCAAGAAAGGCTTTACGTATTATACTGAAAATTGGTGAAGAAGATAGCTTAGAACAAGAAAAAGGGCATAGGATACTTTTCATGCTTGATTAGAAATACATAAAATAATTTGATAAAATCCAAAATCTTCTTATTTACTGTCTTTAAGGAGGAATAATTCGGCCGGTCAGCTATACTTTTTTAATTGTGAAAGTAACGCCGACGAAGAAGTTGGCAAAAATATTTTATGTTTTTATATATATGAGTAACTAGCTTTTGCCGCGACTTCGTCTGCGTGGAATAGTGGCTTCCGGCAGATTTTTGGTTCTTCCCACATAGTTCCCGTTCTTACTGGGTTTTCGGAATAGTCGAGTTCCTGTAGAATTTTCAGGATAAAACCTATGTTTTTTTTTATTCATAATGAAGTACTCTTAACCAAAAACATATTTATTTGTTTATTTGAATAAAGATTAATATTATTATGTTGGTACAACTTAAACAAATTATTACGACCAAATTAGGTACCATAAAAACGGTTTTTGTGAGTTTATCTTAAAAGATAAACATATACTGTCGCGGACTGTTTTTAAGATCATTAAAAGAGCTATTTTTCCTTCATACATATTTTTTGTGTATCTTGAACCGTTTTCACGGCGCACGCAACGAAAGGCTTCAAAGATGAAATAATTTCTCCCGTTTTTTACACATTTACCACTATATCTTTGCTCCTATTGGTCGTAGCGTGATGTTATATAGCCCAAAGCCTTCCTCGATAACTGGACTATCCAACAAAAAAAGAATTATTCAATTCGAACCAGTAGTTTCGGAGATTAGCGCTTTCAAACAAACAAACAAACAAACAAACTCTTCAGCTTTATAATATTAGTATAGATTAAATGATTTTTTTTTCAAACTGACTAAGCAATATGCTTCTTTCTTCCTCATGATCACAGCTATGTATAGCTACAGTTTGTCTGTTTGTTTTCTTCCTATTATAATGAGTGTCTTCAAGCTTCAGTCAAAATCTCGTTATCCACAAATCCACATATCAATAGGTGGAATGAAGAGTCAAGTACTATCCAATTGAAAGTAATGCATATAATAAATTATATTATATTTCAATAAAACGAAACTAACGAATAATACCTACTATTAGTTAGACGGTTTTAAGAATAAACTGAAAAAGTGGTCTCGCAAAAATTATCATATGTCTTAAAAGGGAATAGAGCATACTCTAATTATATCTCCGTTCTTCTCTTATGTGTAGTTTATATAAAACAGTTTTACATTAATAAATCCTCCAACATTAATTAATTGACGTACGACATTGAATGAGAAACGGAATACTTTTAGTACGTAGTGTAAGAACACTTATAATAAATATTTTGATAGGCATATAATTTTGAATAAAATATACCGAAATGAGTTAGTAGTTTTAAAACCTTTTATTGTAAATATCGTTGAGTTTTTAATATGTATTATAGATGGAAACTATTTAACGATATAACGTGTTTAAGTAAGAATGAATACCTTTTTTAACTCACATAGTTACTTTACTTCAGTAGTATAAGTTTTATGAGGTATAAAATTCAACTTTTAATTCGTATAATGTTTCGATTAATTTTTTTTAGGATAGTATCCTTAGTACAAATTTCCATAGTCTAGCATCTATCCACACGAGAAGTTTCAACGTATTTAATACATTGATCATCGTGAAGTAGACGTTTTGATTCATACTTGGAGTACTCTGGGTTCGATACCCATTATCAGACGATTAAACTACATACAAGACTTTGTTTTATAGAACATTCTAATGATATAATAACAGAATTTAAAAAAATTGGCATATTAAGTATTTTAATTAAAAATCCCAACCACTTTATTTTTTAGTTCAGTAAGTAAAGCTCGCGTTTTTTTGATTATTTGATCTCAACTTTCAATTACTTTGCAATAACCGTCATCAGTCAAGATATGTGTCTGTCTGTAATTCTGTTACGACTTACGTGTCATCTACTGCCTATGATTTCTTATTCCTCTAGTATACTTGTATATATATAATGATGCGGAATCATTATTATCACTGCAAAGGGGTAATGAGGTCTAAGAATTTCGTGAGTATTCATTTAAATGAAACTAATATTATTTGTATTACTACGCGTATTTTATTATAAGATTTAACATCTCGTCTTAATGATCATGGTTGCTGTAAAGTAAACGAAACGTTGGAATTATGCAGTTAATTAATTAAAAATAATAAAAAATGCGTAGTAATCGGAAAAATATTAATTTGTTTAACCAGTCAAAGGGTCTTATATTTATGACATGGTGTCTAAGACATTGTATAATTCAAAATTAATACGTTTTTGGATATATTTAATAAGTTTTATTAATAAATTTTACATTTTCGCATAATTTCGATTTCTTTACAGCATCTGTGATCACGTACAGACGAGATGAGAGTTATATCTCACATATGGTTATTAGGCGATTGTCAGACAATACACATTCTGAATTGAGATGATATTCAATATTATTAGATAATAATATATTTGTATTAAATATTTACTAGTTCTAATATTAATTATAATTACATTCAACGGTTAATTCATTACTTATCATGATGAATAAAATGATGACAATAGGTATATCGATTGAAGGAATACTATCATTCGTAACATAATTTTTTAAATATGAAAGTCAAACATAAGGCATTATCAGATGTACGTACAATAAAAATATAACATTAAGGTTAAATTAAACAAAATACCTACCTAAATGCTATAAAATTAATAATCCCTACTAATATTATAAATGCGAAAGTTACTCTGTCTGTCTGTCTGTTACGCTTTCACGCTTAAACAACTGAACTGATTTTAATGAAATTTGGTACAGACATAGAGTAGACCTTGACAAAGAACATAGGATAGTTTTTATCCCAGACTTTTAAAAGGTTCTCGTATATCTGTTAACGAGTGTTAAAAGGTAATGTTATAGAAAGAGCTTATTTAAAAGGTATACTGATAGTGTCATTGTATGTAGCGAGTGATCTTTTAAGGTGGTAGAGCCTAGCTGTGGTCAAGTTACTACAGCTCGAACATGTGCTGGCTCGACTGGTCTTTAACGGATGAGTTTCATCCGATGAGTGAGGGAGACGGTTCCCTTTTGCTACCTTTTCCTCTCAAAAACAATCAAAGTTGGAAACGCATCCATAACTCCTATTATATGTTACAAATGTCTATAGTCGACTGTGACTATTCCCAAAGAGGGTTGATGTCAGGCAGGCGGCTGGTCGTAAAAATAGCCAAAACTATTCACAACATGTAAAGCAGAGCCTGGCTTAATCTGGGAACTTGCCAGGTAGAAGAAGATTAAGTAGACCGTTTATCATTAGCCAGATTTGATATAAAACAAAGATCTCACCTCACATACACACGCGACCTGCTCCTGTGTGAATCCAAAGCTAGGTAGGGGGTCCCTGGGGGGGCTCGCCTCCCGCTGGGGCCACTCCGGACCCCCCAGCATATCTAAATGCTCGTCACCCGCCACTTTGACGAAATACACTCACACTACACAGTTACACTTGTTCGTACTAAGGATTTCACTTACACTTGCACGTTTTACGTAAACTTTATAACACTTAACACTTAGTAATGGTTTAGTTTTTGATTGTAATTTTAATCACTCGACTCTTCTTATATTTTGTGTTAAAATATTTGTTTGTTATATAAATATTTGTCGTATCTTCGTTCTGTCTGTTTTTGTTCCTTTAAATATATTTTTTTAAACCTTCGCCCTTGTTTTCCTCTTTTTTCTCATTTTAGTTATCCTCTATCTTTGTTGTTTACCTGAAACAGATTTTTACTTAAATTAAACAAAATATAATGTTAATAAGTGATTTGTGTGATAAATCCTTGGTTTTTTTAAAGAAAAATCTTAATTAATAATGTATACTGATATATTACTATGGTAATATTTATTTCTAAAATTGTAAATCATAAAGTTTTAGTTAAAATAACTGTAAAAATATTCAACTATTATAAATTTTACTCTCCAAGTACAATACAATATTTTCTTTAAAGTTTAAATGAACTCACTCGTATGAAAGATTTTTTTATAAGTATGGTTTGTAATGAGCTATAAACTTATCCTAATTCCTATATCTTTCTCTGAAATATAATCTACGTCCGTAAAAAATTAAATCCATATCGGTCCAGCTGTTTAATGGCACATTTTTTTCAAACAGAGACTTTTTCATTAATATATTTACGACTATATTATATACGACTATTTTCTTATTTTCTAAAATATAGTTAATTTCGTGATATTAAAATATAGCAGGTAGATCAGGAGTAATGAATATCTATGATTGCATTATAATGTAGGTAATATAAGGACTAAATATCGAAATACAAAGTTCAAAAACTTTCATACGCTTGATAAAAGAGTAATATTTGTGTACCAAGTACCAAAAAAATGGAAATATGACCTGATCGTCCATTTGGTATCTGAACGGAAAGACGATAGAAGTGATAAAAGAAAAAAGTGGATGAAATCTTGATTAAAAGCAAAAGATATCTTGGAAGATGAATATAATACAGAATCAAGTTGATTATTAAATATGACTTAGAACTTGTAATCTATAGGATATACTGGTTAATTTTTAATCCAAATAGATTGAAAATAAAAAGATAATTTACATATATGAATTTTTTGTATATAAGCAATATTTTAATTAACAAAATTGTGATATATATGCTGAATGTAATATTAGCTTCACACTTATAGAACAGAGTATGGCAGACCCTGGGACATTGCCAGGTACAAGAAGAAGAACAGAGTATGATGGTTTGATGAGGTTTAAATGAATGATAGACACATATTGTGATGAAGGTATTATAACATACACGCGTGGCTCAACACATTATTGAAGGTAGTTAGAGTTATAACAACACGTTTAATAATGAGGAAAGACCATGAGACTCAGTGACTGGTTGAGAGACTCAACATCATCATCATCCTATCAGAGCCCACTGCTGAGCCTCTTCTCACATGGAGAAGGTTTGAGCATTAATCACCACGCTTGTAAGACGGGTTGGTGATTTCAAACTTATAATTGTGATACTATAAGTCCAGGTTTCCTCACTATGTTTTTCTTCTTCTATCAGTGGTGTCTAAATACTCTTAGAAAGTACATATGACTTCGAAAAATCACATTAGTACTTGCCAGGTTTGAACCCGCGCCCCTGGTAACGAGAGTCGGGCCCTTTAACCACTAGGCCACCACTGACTGATAGAACATCATCAGAGATGAACTCTAAGTAAATATACACTGGATTATTAATCAATAAGTTCCAGTAATAGTAATAAATATAACGTACAGTAATAAATATGTTTTACTTTAAAACGATATGTAGAGCCTAAGTAGTTAATAAATATAGCAAAGTGAAATTAACTATTAATATACTTGTATTACAAAATAAATGTTATATAATGAAGTCTTAGATTTTCGCGAGTCATTTAAATGAAACTAATATTTTTCGGATATACTACGCCACTTTATTCTTAATAGAAACTACATACTACCGTGATCACGGTTACTTTATAAGTATCTATCTTCATTTTAATGTAAACTTACAAAATATTGATAAAATTACAAAAGAAATCTATGCCCCAGCGAAAGCATCATGAAACTTTGTTCAGCCGTTTCAAAGTTTCAAACAAACTAAAACTATATAAAAATAAGTAATTATGTTTGATCATTATAAAATTTCAATTTTCAAGTAAACAAAGGTTAGAGAAATATAATTTAAAGCTACTGTAATTTGTATAATAGGATATATCTTGAACAAATATAATTTATCATTTTTGTTTTTGATTCTGGTTTTATAAATGTTCCATAAAGTTTAAATTAAATATAAAAATATTTATATCTTCACATAGGTTTTCTGAATAAATGCATATTTTACTTCTTTATGTACATAAAGTATTGAGATCGGTTTTAATATACTGTATATTTAGAATAGTTCGCTTAGTAAAAAATAAGTATAATAGAAAGTCATTTTCTAATATAAAATATTTGATATTAATTTATCCACAATACTGTGACGTAGATTTTACACAAAATAATATCCAGTTATCTTCTTCTCTTCTTCTACCTGGCAAATCCCCAGCTATAGCCAGGGTCTGCCTTACATGTTGTGAAAAGTTTTTGGCTAATTGTTTTTACGACCGGGCGCCTGCCTGACATCAACCCTCTTTTGGGAATCAACATTAATCAGTGATGTCTAAGTACTCTTAGAAAGTACATATGATTCGGAAAAATCACATTGGTACTTGCCCGGGCCAGGATCGAACCCGCGCCCTCGGCAACGACAGGCGGGCCCTTTAACCACTGAGCCACCACTGACTCAAAAAAATAATAAAAAAATAATTTCCAGTTATCATCGGAGGTAAATGTATGAAAATACTACAAACTATCTGTATTTCGTGTAACCATACAAACTCATAGTAAACTATACGACAAACTTGAAAGTATTCCACGAGGCGACCGTATTAAATCAAAAGCAAGTTATTACTACAGCAATGTTAACGACAAATCATTTCATTATCAGACAACCATCTAAAACGCTATCAATTCGGGTACAGGCATTTTTATAGTCCAGATATATTCACGTACTGCAGGGAACTTAGCGATATACAAAATTATACTCTATTACAATTGTATAGAGTTTGTATTGTTTAATATGAATAGTATGCATGTGTGTCTATGTGTGTGTGTGTCTATGTGTGTGTGTGTGTGTGTGTGTCCGTGTGAGGGTCGGAGGGTCCCCATGTTAAATGTGTGGTGTTTTAAGTAATTTTTATCATCGACACGATCTAGACGGGCCTCCCGTGAAATATGGAACTTGAGTTTTAGGGATGGGACACTTGTAGTATCGATATTATGTTTAATTCTATAATAAAATATAGATAATTTTATATTATTTATTACATCACTAACCACTATTAGTATAAATCAAATGTTTCTATGTTTATTTATAAACACACGAACATGTTTTATGCTAATATATTGTAATGTGATGTCATGATTATTTTTAAATTAACATATAAATTATCATATATATATTATATATAGAATCTATTGGCATGACGTTCAATGTGTAGAAACTTAAAATATACGTATTAAAAATTATATAAATTTATATCAGTTTTGGTAAACGTAATATCCAAAATAAAATTAAGAATTTAATGTAGATATATATATCAATAGGTTTCTAGTTTGTTCAATATCTGCTTAACAAACTATGCTATGATAGTAATATATACATATATATAAGTTTAAAACAAACTGAGAAAGATAAAATATAATTACATTGAAAAAGATATTACAGATGTTAAAATAAGAAAAATACTATAGTATAATAAAACTTCGAACACATAAGCAGTGGCGGCTGTACCTTAAGTGCACTCGTGCGCTGAACCACCAATTCAAAAGATTTAAAAATTACAAAAAATTACTTCATCTATATTTTTAAATTACCATTTTAATATTTATTTTTTAAACATATAAAAACGTATAAAAAATTAAATTTCTAATTATGGTCAAAAAGTTTGAGCGCTTTACTAAACTAATATCTCGTGCGCTTCGGTGAGTGCACGAGGACTGCTAATACATGTTGTACGAGATACGCATTAATACGCCTGACGCGTGAAACAAAAGATAGTTCATAGAAATGTACCGAGTAATGAGTCGGTTCTCGAGCGCCGCACGAGCGGCCGAAGATTACCGAGAGCACCCGATGTATGACGAATTGGAATTGAAAAGAATCAAAACTTTTCTCCGAAATACTATGCACTTGCTAAATGCACTTTCTGTGCGTAGTATTGAAAAAAATATTTTTTTTAATTATAATTATACAAACAATATCCGATTTTAATAAAAAGGTGATTGAACATTTTGCTTCAGAAAAATAAACATATTTATTGTCAATTGTTGTGTGGTTGCATTTTCTATTTTTAATATTTTAGTAAAGTGCACCACCAGTTTGATAACCCACCAGCCGCCACTGCACATATGGAAATATAAATATTTTAAAATATAAACAATATAGCCATACAAAAATTATAATTTTGAATTTATATGTATAAAAATTAATACTGATCACACTATTTGTAGGTTGTTAGTCATAATATGTTATGAAATGAAAAAATATCTTAGACTCTTTGACTAAATTAATGGAGCAAACGTGGTGATTAATGCACTAATCTTCTCCATGTGTGAAGAGACTCAGCAGTGGGCTCTGATAGGCTGATGATGATGAACAAGAATTGAATTTAAGATCTTTAAAACTATTCTATGTCAGAATATTAAGATATTTGCCAACGCACCTAATGTTTTTTATAACTCGAAGCGGGAATCAAACCTGCGACTATTATCACCGATCATTATAACCACTGAGCTATCGTGTCACATATAATTAATTATTTATTTTACTAAATACTAGTTTTCGCCCGAGACTTCA